GAAAAACTTGTTAGGATGTTAGATAAACCTTAAAATAAGTCGCAAAACATATACTATTTGTTTACGATCGGCTGAATCTGATATTTGAAACATGTTGTTTAATGCAGGCGTGTTCACGCAACTGCATACTCATATCGCAATACCATATTAAAATGATCACGTGACTTTCAACTGAATTAGTTCTATTCTGTTGGTCAAATTATGCTCAATCATGTGATTAGTTCAAGTGCTTTATGTGTAACTCCTTACAATATGTCTTCATTTGACTGTCTATCCGTCTAGCGATCTGTTAATTGCATTCGATTCTTATACTGATTGAAAAATATTTAATTAATACTGGCTAAATGACACACTAGATAACCCGAGTTCATTTCAGTATGGTGTATGCTGGACAAAACTGACGTAAGCCTGGATATATTTTACCGTAATACAATCGGTAGGCATTCTTTTTCTAGTGTTATTTTGATTCGACTGAAATCTCTCGTTCCAATTCAAATCTGGTTCAGTTACATAGAGGTTTAATCATGGTGTCATTTCAATGCTAATTTAATATAAGTTCAGTTGTGTTCATTTGGACAACGCCTTTGTCTGTAAGACTTTCTTCATCAAGTGGCACTAAATAAGTCAACTCAAAAGTCCGATAGACTACTTTACACTTTGAAGTGTCAAAGGTAAGTGTGTTGTCATCTGGCCAACTTTGAAGTGAAATCAGATCATCCTGAAAAGCCAGTATTTCCTCTTGGTTGCATATCTCTTTTCAAAGCTCCACATCATCAGCAAAAAGTAATAAGTCTGACGGTGCCTACTGTGGGAGATCGTTTATATAAATCAAGAAAAGAATAGGTCCTAGTACAGAATCCTGGGAGGCCCGACTAGTACATTCCATAGCCTGAGAGAAAGTGAAGTTAACCCTGACCTTGAAATGTCTGTTTTTTAGATATGAAGTGAGACAGTTAATTAGAGGTGATTTGATACCCAATCGCCTGAACTTATTGATACGACATACATGGTTGACCCTATCAAAAGCTTTTGAGAAATCAAGGTAAATGATGTCAATCATCCCCTTTCGATCATAGATGGTTACTCATCTGTCCATCGCAGTCAGAAGGTTAGTTATACAAGAATTACTCTTCCTGAAACCATGCTTTTGGTGTGAAAAAACGTTTGGGGTAAGAAATAGTCGTGTATACCGCCGCATATCAGAAACTCTATAATTTTTGAATGCATAGAGAGAAAGGCCATTGGTCGGTAGATTAAAGGTTTACTGCGTCGACCTTCTTGTGAAAATTGTTGTGATGTAAGCTAGCCTCAAAATTTCCGGTAGTTTGCCTCGGCTAAGAGGGTGTGAGAACATTACACTAAGCGGTGTTGCCAGGATTGAAGCTGTTTCCCTCAGTATAGTAGAAAAACTGTACCCGGAGCGGGAGAAGTGTCTGTTTTAGGTGCCGCAGTCTCGGTAAACTAAGTCTGCGCTCGGGTTTACTTCAGAAAGTCCTGTGCGATTGCAGATGAAGTGTTGCGACTTTATGTCCCGAGTTTTATCACATGATTTATACACCAATCAAAATACGACTTATACAATCTTAGCACTATGCCAAACCAATGACGTTCAACCGGTATGAGCAGCCTAGCGTCTTTATTAGTCCCATGTCCACCGAGCCCGTCCACTTGAGTCAAGAACACTATAATGTTTTGGATTATTTGAATTATAGTACAAACTAAGAGTCCTAGAAATAACGCAACTGAATTAAGAAGTGAGACACAAGCACAAACGAATGTATTGTATTTGGAATTCGAAATTGAGCGTTCAACAAGTACCAAGGTATCATTAGTTCATTCAAACAACACATCCGCCACAGATTAAATAGGAGCAAGAGTATTTGTAATCGGTTTTACGTCTTCTTCTTAAGTTCATCCTGAGTCTGTCCGGCACTGTATAAGATAAAAACTTTGTAGTATCTAGAAAGTGCTCATTAGTATTGGAATTAACAAACGAAATCGGAACACACTCACCTGGAATTGTATACAACCAGCATGTCGGTTTTGTAATGAAATCATTAATATCTAGAATTCGAACCATAGATTTTTCAACACTATCCTCCTCCACGAAATAATGTTGGATCTTTATATCCCCAAGTTATGAATAATGTGGCTTCATTTAAAACATATTTCTCACATTGTTTAGAGTACACATTAGAGCTGTTTTTGTGACAAGCATAAACAGCAGTTGGTATGAAATCATCCGAAATGTAATCAAACTCGAGGTCACTTAGTACTCGTGCTTCGCATTGAGCAGGTTTTCCACAAGGATCAAATGCATTATGAGGATAGGTAACACATGATATGACATCAGGATTTGATTCTTCTGAAATATTCTTATGAAATTCATTAGGACTGTCATTGCAGAGCGTAGAATCGTTAGAAAAATCAGCATCTATCCAGACCACATCAGGTTTTCGATCATGATTAGGCTCATTTAACATATTTTCTTCAGAATTGCAAGTAGTTTCATTAGAAATATGTGAATTATTAGGAAAAGTCATACCTGGTACAATAGCATGAGAATTCTGATAAATCGGTTGATTAGAAACTGTTGTCTCACAAGAATTCTGGATTTCATTTAACTCTGAACTGCCATATGACTTTACACTGTCTTTTGAAATCGTTGATAAAGATAAATGATCATCATGAATACTCGACTCAGTAGAATCAGAATTGCAAGACTTAATATTAGTTGCAGTAAAATGAACATTAGCATTACAAACTGACTGAACTTGTCCAATATCACGACATTTGAAGCACTTAGAATTACGAAATTGATATGAATTAGAAGAGTGGAGCTTACAACAGGACAAACACTGACCAAACTTGTCCACATCCTCGTGAACTGCATCCAAACTCAATGGTTTGTCTGCATAACCTTGAGTATGCACTGGTTTGGGATGACGTAGTAATGTAGTGGTGTATTTTATATCCTCATGAATCATTTTATGAGATCTTCTTCCTTTACCGCATTCGAAATTTGTATAATTAACATAGTCTAGCAGCAGTTCCTTGAGAGTTGTATAAGGAAGCGAGATAGGCTTTTCCGACATAGTCAGAATTCTTAATAAGCTGTATGCTTTTCTCCCAATGAATGTGAGGAAGTGTGCCACAATATTAACATCCTCATCATCTTCCTTGGTCATAGCCCAGATTTCGAACCTTTCAAAGTAATCTTCAAAAGCTTCCGAAGATGAATGAAAATCTAACTTTTTCATTACAGGCTCCATCGCGACCCCAATATAATGTTTTGAATTAATTGAATTATAGCACGAACTAAGAGTCCCAGAAATAATGCAAGTGAATTAAGAAGTAAGACACAAGCACAAACGAATGTATTGTATTTGGAATTCGAAATCGAGCATTCAACAAGTACCAAGGTATCATTAGTTCCTTCAAACACCACAACCACCAATACCAGCTTCCACTATGCGAATCACAAATTTCAAACATACTGTATTTATATATCAAACGAACAGACCACAGCGCATCATAAAATAAGGAATTACATTTGTACACAATAAGGCCAAAATGTGGCTGTGAACGTGGGAGACAGTATTTAATAAAGTGAGCATAATTTAGAAACAGTAAATCGTATTATAATAAATTGTAGATAAAATGAAAGCTTATAATAATAAGTATGTAGATATATACAATCTAGTGACTGAATAGTTATAACATAAGAATATATAGATAATATTAGCCCCATATTAGGTCTCAGAAGTTACTCCTAATTCAGTTTTCACTAGGATATAACATAAAGCTTTCATCAATATATTCAGTATGGGTCGGTTGAAATGTCCGAGAGTACTGTTCAGCCAGAAGGTTAGTGGCGTCACCGTCGTTATTGGTTGGGCCGTTAGGACCTGGCATTTGGGAAACTCAGGTTCTTGTCGAAGGGGAGGTTGCATAATGGGATAAGCTTTTCGGATTGGAGACAAATTTATCGATAGGCTTAATCTGATACTGAAGCCTGTCTTCTCTTATTGCCTTTGTGCATATGTTCGTTATATGCTTGTATTGTCTGTACACTCCGTTGTTGTTAGGTCGTTTGAATTCTGCCTTTTGTGGCTTTGCGAACGAAGAGTGCTGTTCTTGATGACTGTAGGTTGCTTGTAGATTTTGGCGACCGTTTGAGGAAGGCTCTATTTCAGGAAGTTCGAGCTTCGTATTTAACTCTTCCCAAGGCATCCTGTCATGTTTGTCCTGCAAACTGAGGGGGAGTTCAAGGCTGTCTTTAAGGTTTATGATTATTAGAGAATTATCACGAAACGTTATTGCTTTCCCAGGTTTTCGGGTGCGTTCGAGCCGAGCAGCGCTGTCAAGATAGCTCTTCCTTTGTTTGCCCACTCTTTTAGGACTGTGTTTTTTCAAGTTTGCTGACAACTGATTCCGCAGACCTGTCAATAAGACAATCATGTTGCTCAGCAAAACTTCAGTATCCGTGTTGCACATGACACATACTCACTCATGATTCGACTTCACATGTTTTAAGCAGACACTATGTGGCCTGTGCGCACTTCGTGGAACCAACTTTTGCGACTGTCGCACTGCACAGGAAAACGGTATCCTGGTCGTTTGCATGAATTTTTCGTCACTAGATTGACGTAAATTGTTTTATACGTCCTAATAAAATCCTAAGACCGTAAAAAAACAACACGTTGTGACTAAACTTCCCGTTCGTAAGGCGTGAAATCAATGCAATCGCCCGTCAAAAAGATGTTTGTCTTTTAAAAATTTAGAGAGCCTCATTAATATCAAGGTAAGGATCTTAAATTATTGAAAACTAAGTTTTGGTGGCTACAAAAAAATATCGTATGAATGATGCTGTTCAAGATAGATTTCTTCGTCGCTCGTTGAGAAGATCGATAACATGTTTTCGGCGTCATGTACATAGCTTTCAAAGGTATGCAATCAGCCGATAAAGTTTGTTTAAGTTGTTCGACAATCTCTGCCGCAAATCAAAACTGCCAAATGACCTTTGTGGCGTAGCTTTGACATTTGTGGGACATTAGCAACATTTGAATGTCAGCAAGATGGCGTTGTAGCTCATTAAGATGAAAATCATAAAATGATGTCTGGATCAAACTATTTTTTTATCAGTAAGTGCAAGGCTTGTCAGGAGTATCTTTCATTTCTAAAGAATTCTCATTATTGAAATAATGTCATGCAAAGTTTTTTCATTTACTTCTTATGTGTCACATCCCAACATATTGAAGTGGAAATTTGATGTGTGTATGATAAAATGATCTATGAAGTTATTAACACCATAGAGAACTAGCGGGAATTTACAACTTAAATTTTTCTGTCACAAGTAACAACTATAAGTATTAGCTAGTAAATTCTGGAATTCAATTACAGTCACGCTTTTCAGTGTCTGTGTAGTGAACGAAAACTCAGGGTGGACAACCAGATAATTGTTTTACGCGAAATTACCCTGTGTCTCCGTAAAATATTAAATACATCACTTGCATATCTTTCTTGACTTATCCTTTACGTACTTCACAATTTTTCCAGTACTGTTGTAATTCGAATTACTCTCTGTCTTCTCTTTATTTCAATCCGCTGTTAAGCATTTCACTTCCAATGTCTGCCACAAACTTTTTATTTCTGTCCGCATAGGTAGCACACATCACACTTGTACTTAAATATATATTATTAATATTACTCAATTTGTTTAATGTGGTTGGTTTCTTATAGCAAAGCTTCTACGGGCTGGGGTTTCCGACCCCATGCCCAACCTTCCTCCTTTACCTGGGCTCTCAACCGACAGTAACTTTAAAAGAGCTACAGGCGGAGTTTATTACTAATATGTGACAACATAAATTGGGACTTACAATAATATTTTCTAGAATTGTGCCCTGATTTTATAGAACGGAGGGAAACTCCACTACAATGTAATACTTACACCATCTCTCCTTCCATGATGGTGTTCATTGAACTTATGTTCAATGTCATAGAGACAACACTTGCGATTTCGTACACCTTTACAATATCTTTTTACAGTGACATAAGGAGGTAATTTTCGTATTTAAGTGTATTGCCTTCTTTCTATCTTGGTGCATAAGCGTTTATTGATTTCTTTAGAGATATGCTAATTAGTTTTTGTCTTTTTTTAATCGATGAAACTATCTTTTCCGTTACAGATTCCTCACCTTAAGCAACTGGCTTTGTTGACCTCCTAAGAGTTTCGTCATTCATAGGGGTTCCTCATGAAAAGGGGTGGTGGACCGAATGAGTTAGACCCCCCACCAAAAGTTTCTAAAACTAGAGAGTCTGTGGATGAAGATGAATGTGTTGGCGATTGGCAAGTATGTTACGCATCAGTTCAATCCAGTATTGATTGGCTATTGTGTAACTCATGTTTTTACGAGTAATCATTATTTTGTAGATAAATATTAAGTAATGGGGTTGATAGTTGTACATTTTGTTTGCCCTCATTCTTACCAATGAATTGTTGGGAATATTTGTGGATTTCCTCATAAGTGATCTCTGTTTCCATCATCCTCATTTGAATACTAGGCATCTATTTTACTCTTTATTTTTCGTGAAAATATCTTGTCGAGTCAGTTAATGAAGTTTCTGTGATAGAAGTATTAAATACATTAAATATGAATCTGTACCATAATGTGTTGTTTAATTATCCCGTAACGCGCTTATAAATTAAGTAGCTCATTTCTTTTAACCGTCTTTCAGTAATTTTTCTTTGTACACAGAGGGGTTGGAATTGATATCCTCTCACTACTTTTCATTTCTATAAACTATTTTTGTGTAACATAGGCATCGCTTGGATGTTCATTAGCGGAAAGACTGGAAAAAATCACTACTGTCCAACATTTGACAACACGCCAAGTTAAAAGGTTGTTAAAGGATGTCCTGACTAATGAGGATGTTGTGAGTGCTCTACGTCGGTATATTGACGGTGAATTCAGAGAGCCTGAAACCGGTGAGATTTCAGCAGCTACTCGAAGGCGTGCTAAATCTTTGGGGTTATTTTCTATCCTCAGTGATCTTGGAGAAAATTCCGATTACCACCTAGAATCTAGAGCTATCACTCGGTAAGTCATATTGTTTCTCACTTTTCTGAGAGTTATGTTAAATCGTTCGTATGGTGCTATCAGATTTAATATAGAAGACTTAAACTATCCTCTTTGTATTGGAATACAAACAAACGATTGCTGTATTGGTTGAGCGAGTCTGCACTTTGATATTATCTGTTAAAAATATTTTTAGCGGTTACGTTTGTTATCATTTGAAGGTCTTTAAAGAACATTAATGGGAATGAGAGCACACATCCACTTAACTTAGTTGCTCCACAACAATAATTAGGTTACACAGTAGCCTAATCTCACCATCACAAGCGTTTCGAAAGCATTTTTGAAAGATGTGTGGCGCATATATATTTGGTTCCCACTTGTACCAATATTTATGTGTTCAAATAAATAAATAAATAAATACGTAGCTAAGCACTTAGACGTCGAGTGCGTGGGCGCTGCCAGCATCGTATTGTTACTCAATTTTTTTTTTCACTTCCGACGTTTTTACTTTGGCGATGGAGATGATATCGTCTTCCTATGAAATGACATAGGCATGTAACCAGTTGTCTGTGAAATGTATTTTTTTCGAACTGAGAACGTGCTACGACTTTGCGTTCTATGATAATTGTCCTGTAAGGAATCCTTGCTTGCAATGGTAGCATCGGGTGATGTTGAGATACCCCAATGTCTATTTGAGTATGATGTAAATGCCCTGGTACGGCCGAGAGTGGGGAGAGTCCACTCTCCCTCTCGAAATACTCTCACACGGCCGCGCGTATACAGCCTCTGCCAGGGAAGTCCTACTCATTGCCTTCTCGTGGCGGGGGTGTTGTTTACGAAAATGAGAGGACGAAAAGCGAATGTCCGGCGCTTTAACCGGATCACAAACCAATGGTGCACATGGGCTCCAGTATCCTGAGGGAACAAATGGCGTATGAACCAATCGTTGGTCACCGGCTACCATGGGATTGCATCTCCTTACGATGCTCCACTGCCTTGTGGGTTAGACTTTTAGGTCGAAGGCTCGGGGAGTGGCCCCCTAAGATAACCACCTGCTTCGGTTTGGGCACCCGGGCAGTATCACAGCCCACACACAAATGATGAACTCTCTATGTCTATGGAAATTACTTTTCTCGCTTCGAAAAACAATCAATTGATTCAAATTATTATCATTACAATTATTGTCATTATTAATACTATTATTATTATTGTTATTATTATTATTATTTTCCACACTATTCACCCTCTTTTATACTTATACAGCGGCTCGTCTTTGGTGGAAATTCGACTGTATCTAAACGTTCTCGAGTCACTGTCCGGTTGAAAATTGTATGTTACCACCGAATATGAGTACTGAAGCAGTTTTTCTAAAACCACGTGCGCCATTCAAACTGGCTGCCTTCAACGTTCGCACACTTATGCAGGTTGGACAACAGATAGGGCTGGCTATGTCTTTGGAAAGTCTTCATATCGATGTCTGCTGTCTATCCGAGACCCGTATTCAAGACTCTGGTGAAGTACTACAAATTCGCTCTCCATCTGTCACTTCAAAAAGCTTGTTTTACGTGCGCTTATCCGGGGACCCTGTGGTATCTTCGTCTGGTCTTGCTGGCGTTGGTGTCGCACTAAGCGCTAGAGCTGAGGCAGCACTAGTCGATTGGATCCCCATTAACAGTCGGTTATGTGCTGTTAGATTAGAAAGTTCCATCTTAGTGAGAAGAAATTGGCGTGAGAAACGATGTCTTTTCGTCATCTCCGCCTATGCCTCGACAGATTGCAGTCCGAATGCAATCAAGGATGAGTTTTACCACCAGTTATCTGTTCTCCTCCAGAAAATGCGTTCGACAGATATTGTAGTACTAGCCGGAGACTTGAATGCTCAGGTCGGGCGTCTAGGCACAGAAGAGAGTCGTTTAGGTGGCCGATGGGGACTCGTTGGTCGCAGGTCAGATAACGGGGACCGTCTACTGCAACTTTGCACAGACCACAACCTGTTTCTGGCTAGCACTAACTTTCGGCACAGTCATCGCCGATGTGTCCTCCCTCTGCATCTCAAGCCCGGACTCAGATTGATCACATCGCAATCAGCTACCGCTGGCGTGGTTGTGTACAAGACTGCCGCATTTTTTGGAGTACCTATCTGGACTCTGATCATGTCCTGGCCTGCGCCAATCTTGCCTTACTTTTCAGTAGACAACGAAGTGACCGCCATCAACGGATTGATATTAGCAAGCTGGTTGCAACTTCTGTTGCAAGTAAGTATCGAGCCGAGCTAGCCTCTAGGCTAGCTACCACTTCACCGAAAAGTATAGATGAGCATTGGTTGCAATTGCATGACGCCATGAAAATGGCGGGAACAGTCAGTTGTGGGTTTGCGAAACGTCCCGCTTTTAAGCACTGGGTTTCTTCTGGTTCCTTACAACTCATTGAAGCCCGTCGGTCTACTCCGGGTGACCGTGAGTTTGACCATAAACGAAGGATGTTATGTAAGGGAATTGGGCAAAGCTTGCGTAAGGACCGAGAAGCCTGGTGGTCGAAGCGTGCTAATGAGCTGGAAGCAGCAGCTGCATCTGGTAACTACCGGAAGCTCTTCCAGCTCATCCGAGCCACTGGCAGCAAGAAGTCTGGTGTAAGTGAAACAATCTGCGAGGATGATGGGATGCCAATCACTAACATCCATCGACGTCTTGGACGATAGGCAGAATTTTTCGAAGGGCAGTTCAACTGGCCTGCTACTCCGGTCGGACTGTTCCTGTAGAAACTATCGGGGGCTTCCGTCATACTTCGTAGGTTGTTCAAAACCCGAGAAAGATTGACTCGCGAGGAGCAGGCTGGGTTTCGTTCTGGTCGAGGATGTATTGATCATGTCTTCACCCTACGCCAAATGTTAGAACACCGTTATACTTATCAAAGGCCAACAATCGTAGTGTTTCTTGACATCAGGGCTGCCTTCGATTCGTTGGACAGGACTGTTCTCTGGGATTGTCTATTGAAGAAGGGTGTGCCTGAGAAGTTTATTAACATCCTAAATCGGCTAGATTGGTAAACGTTTACTGTCTTATTAACATGACGTCTTGCGCCTGCTTCTCCGTGTTTTTGATATCAGGAAGGAATGTCTGAGACTAAAGGTCCGTCTTAAAGGTATTTATACTGAGTGGGAATCAAACAGTTATTCTACATAATTTTTGACACCATGGCGAAACAGACTCATTTAAGATTTGAAATAAAATTGACGTGACTCATTAAACAAGTAAGGGTTCTTATCTTCATTTTTAGAAACTTTTGAGTTTAGTGGTATTACTGGGTTACGCAAACTTAAGTATTCAAAGTGGAGTTTAAATATGTATCTTGGTCCCTGAAGAATAAGTGTTTTAATCACGAAGTTGCTCTCAACATTTGTCATAATACATGTCATGTTCTTTGTTCATATATATCTCCTGCAATAATGTATACAGTTGTATAAGGATCAGGTCATCTAACTTATTCCCTAAATGCTAGTTGGTCGGTTATTTATAGAACAACATCGTCATACTTATCAAAGGCCAAAAATCGTAGTGTTTCTTGACATCAGGGCTGCCTTCGATTCGTTGGACAGAACCGTTCTCTAAGATTGTCTATTGAAGAAGAGTGTGCCTGAAAAGTTTATTAACATCTTAAAAGCCCTATATACAAAAACCTCAGGTAGAGTGAGGGCATACAACTACCTTTCTCCATTGTTCCATTCGAGCAGTGGGGTTAGGCAGGGTTGCCCAATCTCACCATTCCTCTTCAACTTTGCCATCGATGACATTCTGGAAACAGCTCTGATGAATGTAAGTAATGGCGGTGTGGATCTGTTGCCTGGAGAAAGACTTCCCGACCTTGAGTATGCGGACGATATTGTCTTACTGTGCGATAATGCCCAAGGCATGCAATCCGCACTTAATCAGTTGGCAATCAGTGTCCGTAGGTATGGTATGTGCTTTGCACCTTCGAAATGCAAAGTACTTCTACAAGACTAGCAGGATTCCAATCCTGTACTCACTCTGGATGGTGAGCAGATAGACGTAGTCGAGAAGTTCGTGTATCTGGGTAGCTGCATATATGCTGGTGTGTGTGTGTGTGATGAGATCAATGCACGTATAGTGAAAGCCAGAGCGGCTTATGCCAATCTGGGCCACCTTTGGCGCCTTCGTGATGTTAGTCTGGCTGTGAAAGGTTGGATCTACAACGCGTCGGTGAGAGCAGTTCTGCTCTATGCTTGTGAAACCTGGTCTCTCCGAGTTGAGGACGTTAGACGACTCTCTGTGTTCGATCATCGCTGTCTCCGAAGGATTGCTGACATTCAGTGGCAACACCATGTCAGTAATGCAGAGGTTCGGCATCGTGTGTTCGGGCACAGAGATGATAATTCAATTGGTGTCACCATCCTGAAACACCGACTTCGGTGACTTGGACATGTTCTCCGAATGTCGTCCCAGAGAATTCCACGTCGTGCATTATTTGCCGACTCTGGGACTGGTTGGAAGAAGCGGAGAGGTGGTCAGTGCATGACATGGTGTCGTGGCATGAAAGAAAGCTGCAAAGGGCTGGCTTCTGTCGGTCCTTCACGACTCCCTGGTTGGGGTCTGAGAGATGGTGCTACACAGTGGCTAGAGACGTTATCAGATATGACCCAGAATAGAAGCCAGTGGCGATCCTGCTGTAACCTTTTACTTTGTTCATAAAAAGTGGTTGTGTCTCCCTTACCTGAAAGATTTCTTCTGATTGTACCTTTCCGTTCCCTCATTACTACCACACTACCTTACACCAATCTCTTCGTTAGTGTTCTCTTTTTTTTGCGCTCCTTAGCTTTTTTTTCTATTTCTCTTCGAATTCTCATTGTTTTGTGTGACGCATATATATTGGCGCTCTCTTGTACCAATATTCATGTGTTCAAATAAATAAATAAATGCTGATGATTTATTAAGTTCTGTTACTTTGAGACACCGGCTTCCTTACGGTATATATATAACGGGTTTCATACCAACTACTACTTGTCGTTGCTTGCAATTAGTTGAAACAGTAGACGGATATTCTGCTATTTATACGCCTGGCAATGGATTACTGCAGGGTATTCATTATTAAGTGAGTCGATTTCAAAGCACTTTATTTAATTTTGAAGCTAGTACTTCTCAAGTTATGTAATATTTTCACGAAATCAGTAGATCATCATTCTCTATCACTCACTAACTTTAAGAAAAACATTGATCAAACATAATTTGCGTACTGAATTCCTTTACCCGGAGAATAAATTTAGTTCCTAGGTCGTAACAGATTTTATTACTGACAATTTTGCATTACGCTTTATTCCTTTTAAATTTTGTTCTCATTATTTTTACCTTATTTTTCTCCTTTCCATATTCGTCAAGATTCTCGGAAACTAGCTAAATCTCAATTTAGTGACTTGTTGGTCTTCTCATCTTGAACTGAGGTGGATAAGTATTTCCTCTAAAAACTTTATTTTGTGTCTGTACTCCCTGTGGGACTCCGTGTCACATCATGTTATTATCTAGTTCTGATTAACTGTATTAATCATTATACAAACACATTTAAATCAGTTATTTAGGTCCGTAATTGTCATCACAACTTCTTTGCACTACATTTGGTTGATATTACCTAGATTCTAGTTAACCAAATCACTTTTTGGATCTAGTTTACTATTCACTTACGTACAGCTAGAAGTCAAAAAGAAATTATTTTAACATTTAAGAACAAAGTATCTTTAGTGCTATCACACTCTTGTAAATAGATGTGGTATCAATTCTCCAATTTTTTGCCAATGCTTACATGGAGATAAAATTTCTAATAACTGTGGTACCAATTATTAACTTTCGATAATCTATGCATACTATTATCAACATGGTATTTGTGTTTATAAAATGAACGCTTTAGTTTGTTAATTTCTCAAACCTCCTGTTTTAAGGCAATCAATATTCGATTTGATGGATATCTTTTTGCCTCTTTTCGTTTGTTTCAATTATCTTTCATGTTTGGCATAGATCGCACGGCTTAGTTTTCAGTAATTATCAATTTACGTTTTCACTAAATATTGAATACTTGAAAATGGCGGATATGTTGAGGAGAATGACCTATGTATTGAGTGTTATGAATTTCACTTATTGCTTTAAGCTTCATATAGTTTATGAATTGCATATCAGTGTTAAAATGTATAATCTAATTTATGCTTCACTTTGGTTTCTATTTTCTTACAAAATCAACACATAAATGCAGTACTCTTTGCTTTGTCAAGCATCTAGTGTAGTTTTTATCATGCTGCTTTGATTTCTTTACTGTCCAACTAACTGAATTCATATCTTAGTAAATGCCAGCGTTTTCACCTGTAGCTGTAAATAAAGAGTTTCCAGAGGTTGGAATTCCCAGTTTAGTGAGTATTAGCATTATAGTTTGTTGTTTTCCTTTGTTGGTTTCCATTAAAATATTCCTATACTAACAAAGTCGGTGTATTTGACTCAGTGAATTAAACATGTAATAACAAACCTTATTGATGGACGATTAATTTCTTGTGTAATGGTTTCATTTATCTGTCTATCTTGAATAAATTCTTCAGATCACTTACTCGTCGTATTGAAGAGTCATTGCAAAATCAGTTTCCACATTCTACCACACCCGAAAAAGAAGCACCATGCACCATTCTTGATATGGAATTCCCTGACGAAGATGATGGCAACGGAAAAAAATTAGGGAACGATTTAGATATTTCATTGACCGATAGTGATTACCAACCGAACGATGGAGATTACAAAATTTTAAGACGTGATCAAGTGCTAGATTTTACCGAAGCCTTCAAACATAATTCCTGTGTTACAGATGTAGAAAATGAAAGTTGTCTGAATGGTAGTAGAAGTAGCACTGAGAGTGATTCACAAATAGATCTTGACTCTTGTGATGACTGCATTCAACCTAACAATGTCGATAATTCTGTTTTCTGTGGAAACGATAATAATTTAGATATACGAACTTCCCGTCTTACTCGTTCAAAAGCTAAATCACTCAAGAGTTTATCTGAATTAAGAAACGGTGTTTCCTTTGAAAAGCATGAAAATTCTAACTCCAGTGTATCATTTCGACCGGACGATGCTGTTGAATTTTCGCTTCCTGGTAGTTCTCATTGTTATCCGGATGCAGAAGAGGGTGAAGAAGAAGAAGAGTTGAACGCAACAGAGGACATAACAAATAAAAATTACAGTACAACAACAAATAAAGATGTAGATATTGAAGATTCAGATAACGATGTTTATACTCAATTTCTTCGTTCGCTGTTCACTTCCGCTTCCAATTCAGCAAACTGTACGCCTAACAAAGTGTGTTAAAAGTTTTAGTATTGGTATAAAGTTCCTTGTGCAATTATTTTTGAATCTTTGTATTTTTCTAAATATTTTATCTGTTCTGTATGGTTGTGATAACCTATATTATGGAGATTCAATGTGGTATTATAAAGTGATTAATATCAAGTCATAGCTGTTTACCTAAGTCTTTGGATCCCCAAATAGCTTCATGAGTTAAAACGCTTATGTATGCAACCTTGGTTAATAGCTTTCTGTATTTCAACCTAATCGTGGCTACTACCGCTATTTGTCGTATTCGGAAGTTTTCAATCCGTTGACCTTATGTATAGGCTCTCTCTCAACTTTTTATTTCTTAATCACAAACAATAGCGTACTTTTTAATAAGATAGCTTCTTGTCATCTAACAACATGCAAATGTCACTTAGAGATAGATTTTTTATAGTACGTAAATAACAAGTGAATGGTAAAATGTTTAACTGACACCTTGATAGTATTTTGACCTAGTGAGGGTGAAACTAATGACTTAGTTGTTCATTTTGGTACTATCTATGACTACAGGATATCCGAAATTTCAACGAAGCTTAGACATTCTTTTGACTGTCTGCAATCCAAAATTAAGTTGAGTACACAACAGTATTCGGTTACGTAGCAATATCACCTCTATCGATATAACTATTGACCTTGTGACTAGTTAATATGGTCATAATATATTACGAATCGATCGGTTATATTGTGTTTAGTCCAATCCTCTTACAAGTGATCATTCTAGAACTCGAATAACTTGGCAGTGATGACTATTATGATGTTCCTTGTAAGTTAGAAAATCCAGGGTATTAATTTGACGAAGTTTGCAGATATACTTTGGTCAGTGACAATCAAAAACATGATTCAGAGCTTATTGACGGTTTCACTGAATCATATGTAATTATTATTTCCAGAATATATATATATAATATTGCAGAATAATCCGTTATACCCAATATTTGTAAACGATCAAATCCACTCTAGGCTGACAAACCTATAATAGTAATAATAAGCTATCAGCTGTAAGTGACTGGTTATATGTGGAAAAATAGTTTGTGAAAAATAACACTGCAAAGTCTTCTGTACTTTTAATCTCGTGTGAGTTTAACTGTAGTTTTTAGTGGTATATAGTTTAATCATTCTCAGGTCACAGAATGACGTTTTCTGCGTAAAGCATACTGTTAATGAAATTTAAGTTGAGCATCTTCAAATCCATCAGTTATAGATTATCACCACTTAAATGAATTTTCATAGCTTTTAAATCACTAACTGATCTTAGTTAAACTACCACTGAAAAGCTGTAAATATTTGAAGTATTTATATGTACTACTGTCAAGTTAGATATAATTATACGCTTAACATAAACATTGAAATCCACCATTTCGTTTTAGATTAAACTGTAACTTGCTTTCGCACTTTCTTAATGAACGCATTATTAAAATAATCCTGATTTAAAGTTGGTTAGCAAACAGTGTTCCAATGTTGAATACTAAGGTTTTATTCTTGTAATAAACTGCTGCATAACTGTTCAATTTTATCTTACTTTTCAGTCAAATCCAGGAATAAATGCTCCAGTTAAAGCGTCTACAATCTGTGAAAAACTCTTAGGCGATGAACCAAACAAAAACAACAGATCCCAACCATCAAATGGACATCATTCTGAAATGACATCGCGGCCAATATCAAGGCTTGTAAATGATATCAATGACGATGAAGATGATGACGATCCAGAATTTGACGTTATGGCAGAGTTAGACGATGTTGATAGGGAGGATTTTTTCTATGAATTACGAGACGATCGCGCTGTTCGAGTATCTAAAATGGAAGCCAAGGTTCGATGTTTTTTAAGTACACCGTCTCTATATTATAATTTAATCTTCAGTTGTATTGGTATAAAAATGTTATTAAATAATGGTTTGATTGATGAAGTAGTCTTCAATGTTATCGTAAATTGCTCTATGTGAATGCTTTGCACTGTTAAATAATTTCATACTGTCTAACTGAAATATAATCGAAATTTATGTTAAAATGTATTTGATGTACAGATCACAGATTATATAATCTATCCAATGTACAATATACGGCATATTAATGTTTTTGTTTAGCAAGTGGAGTGAAAAACTCATCTTAAATGTTAACTTCTTACTTCCAGGTCTAATTGAATTGTTGTTTAAAAACGATATTACTATTTAAACAGACTCACTAAAATGTTTTGTTGGATGGATTCTATTATGCATTGAAACAGGTATGCTTAGAATATCAGATACGTTTGTAGGGTCACTTATTTTGACTGTGAATATATGTATCAACAAAAGCAATTATACTGTGTTGAGTCGTTCACACCAGCGATCGATATTCAGACTCTTATAAATAAACATCAAGAACCTAAACCATTAAGTAATAGTTCATGTATTGATTAACTCACTTCACAATTTGATTCAGTACCTCGATGATAGGCATCCATATTGATCAGCGCTACATCGTCATTCTTCATTTTAAACGCTTAAGACATCAAAATTATTAGATTCTCATGCAGAATACTACATTCTCTATGTTGAAGTTCAGAAGGCGATTTAATCAATCCACTTTAATCCAACTAATCGCATTGTAAAAAGTCACTAGTCTTAAAAATTATTTCTACAGATAGGTTTAAAGCTATATGAATTGTAATCAATCGTCTTACTGTTGACAGAAAACTTGCGAACATCCAAGATATAAAGCCTCTCATAATCACATTCACTTACTTGACGTACAAAGATATTTTGGACACACTTTTAATTAATGAAATCTTATACCTATTTCAAATTGAAAGGCGGTGTCGTTTATTGTAAATGTTGCCAATGCTAACAGCATAGTTAAGATGTTCACCCATTTGTTATTGTTATTAAAACAGAACAAGTTTTGTAAAGACTCCTTAATTTGTGAGTTGTTTCATTCTCATAGGAATTTTCTTTACAATCTTCTTAAAACATTAGGATGATAAGTTTTCAGCTGCTAGTTTTTAGCATTTCACATATCCAGTCAGTCAATTAACTTTTTTTGTACATCTTTCCGTGCACAACAGTTAATGCCCTCATTGATCCATGTTTTATTTTTCAAACGTGATAATAATTAGTATAGTATAGATATGTGGCGTCATCGTCTGATATCCATTATCGGGAAGTTTTATGAATGGTTCACGCTGTCGCTTTCTTGTCTTAATTCTTCCTATTTTATATGTGTAACACAGTAATCTAAGGTTAATAAAACGTAAAATATTCGAGAATTCGTCAGTATATTTTATTTTGCACTATAATCATGACAATAACAATTAAAGTTGGTACCTAATAAATCCCGACGTCTTCAATGGCTTACACCTGTCAATGATCATTTAGCTGAATGTATTGTGTAAAACAATAACTTATTGAGTTCTATGACTGACAACCACTGGAGCAGAGGCGCCAATTACCACGCATATTGACACTGATATAAATTGAAGCTACAACGATCTATTTATTCATTCATCTGTTTAGACACATAAACATTGGTCCAAGGAGGCGTCAAATATATACACGTCGTCATTCGATTTGTGTGAGGGCTGGAGTACTGCCAGGGCTCACAAACCGAGGCAGGTAGTTTTCTTAGGGGGCCACTCCCCGAGCCTTTGACCTAGAGGTCTAGTTCACAAGACAGTGGAGCAACCTTAGGAAATGCAGTCCCATGGTAGCAGGTAAGCAGCAGTAAGTCCATACGCCATTTGTTGTCTCAGAATTCTGGATCCCATGTACACCATTGGTTTGGAATTAGTCCTTTCCAACTTCCCTAGTTGAATGTTCCATATCCACCAATCCAGTTAAAGTGCCGGGCATTCGCTTTTCGTCCTTTCAATTTCGTAAACAACACCTCTGTGAGAAGGCAGTGAGTAGGACTTCTCTAGCATTGGCTGCATACGCGTGGTCATGTGAGATCATCTCGAGACGGAAAGTGGAGTCTGCTCACCGTTAGCCGTACCAGGGCATGTGGGAACTTATAGCAATCTAACTAAACGGTATCACGTAACAGCTCTTCCTAATTACTACTGCTAACCATACGACAAAATCCACTTGGTATTGTTTACTTGAATCTTCCCATTGATGTTTAGGGCTGCATTTGATCAGTCTCTTATTGTCATATGTGCATACTGTGCGTATTGCCTTAATTCACAAGAATTTTAAACAAAGATGGATGATGGCTATCAGTGGAATCCAGGACGCGCGTTTCGTCCTATTTGGGACTCGTCGGCTGAATGTACCTGCATCTCAGAGTTGATGTTCACTCTGGGACTCGAACCCAGTATCAGTAGCTAAGTGGATAACGCGATGGCGTTCGAAGCGAACGGTACTGGGTTCGGGTCCCAGAGTGAACGTCAACTCTGAGACGCAGGTACATCCAGCTGACGAGTCCCAAATGAGACGAAACGCGTGTCCTGGATTCCACTGATAGCCACCATCCATCTTTGCTTAATATACGAAAAAATAGCTAGCTATCACAAAACTTACTGAATGGTTTTACAGTGCATTTTTCAAGCTAGTTAGAATTGTAATCGAGTTTTAAGTTTAAATTATTATTTGTATCTATTCAGAATTTACATGAAGATTTACGTGAACTGTTTAGTTCAGAAGAAGGACATGAAAATCGTACACATCAATCCAAAACACCTTCATTCCTGGCAATGAAAGCTTATGGCCAACGTTTGTTTCATATGGATCGCAATACATTTCGATATAGTAGTCAAATAGATGAGTTTAACAATCCACAACCTATTCAATCTCCTGCACCCAATGAGATTTTTCATAAGACTACAGATACTCCGGTTAATCCAACTGTAACACGGTGTCGTATCACGTTAGTCATAGCATTTTCATCCCGTCTATTTCCTCTCATACTGAACTGAATTTTAAGACTGTGTATTTTGGCATTCTCTGCAAATTGTGTGTATTTTGTGCTTCATTATTTCTGATACTTATTACCATTCGAGTAAAATTTGACTGTATCTTAGGTAGTTACACAACAGACCCTATGTAGGATTATCTTTAGAGCTTGATCTATAAAAGTCAAATGTGATCTCTTCATCATAGTTGACCTTTTCTAAAAAATGAAGAGCATATTAGTCAGTCTGGTGATCCTAGTGAGATTTGTCTAACATATTTTAAGGTTTCAAAACAAGAAAATTCCTGTGTGACAGGTGGATTTCAGTCCTGGTGTAGTTATCTGATTTTAGGATATTCTACATAGTCTGTCAGTTTTCAGCCTGTAGTTCGTCGGTTGTGAGGTCTTGTGTAAAGTTTGTGGCAAATATACTATTACACAAAGAGCTATTTACGTTCAGCTTAAAGATAATAAGTGAAATAGTTGCTAAATACGTCAAGGTCCCATCGTATCATCCCAAATATCTCGATGGTAACGTTTCAGACTATGAAATTGAGTGGTATACGCTTGAATCTACCAGGGAACATCAGTCACCTCAAGGTTGCAGGTGCATACCTTGTTGATGCGTCCTAATTATCATGTAACCCAGGTCCAGCGTTTCTTGTCGGCTACCTTCAGTTGTCGGTCATATCACAAGAAAAATAAGATGTTATGCAGTAGTGCCTGATTAAAATGATCATTTTCTCAACTGTACTAAACATTTTCGTTTAAAGTATTTTTAATCGCTTCAATATTATATAAGGCTTAATAACCTGAACTAAAAGTAAATGGTTATCATAAATCTCTGTTCGCAGTATATATAAACGATTAAATGGTGTCATGTGTGGTGAAAACTAGTCATAACTATAATTATGGTCTCATGAGTGGTATATAAACATTAATATCGACAAAGGAATGAAATCAAAGATTTTTTAAAAAACTACTGTAAGAAATTGCGATGAGCAGTTCTCGTTTTATCAACATGATTTGATATTATTTTGTCTATCATAAGAGTTGCATTGGCACACAATACAAATGAGTATAAGGTTTTATAAATTTCTCATTTCAAATTATGAATATAGCTTTATTTAGTAACTAATCACATGTTTTCGTATTCGGCTTTAAACTTCTTGTCCAAGAAGCAATCAAGTGGGTTGCCAAAACCAAAGTAGGTGGCAGGGCAAGATCAGAACCTACGGCGTACCAGTTGAAAACAAAATGCTATTAGAAGTGTTAATATATTTTTTTATTTTATGAAACAGCAGATACTTTTGACTTAATTTTCCATTTTTATAAGAAATAAGTTTCATTATTGTCATTATGATATCGTCTTGTTTGTAATTCGTATTTCTTTTTTGTAGCCTTACTGAGACAGAACTGGTTCGATTAGAACGTCAATTAGTAATGCATATTCAATTGTTAACTACGAATTTCTTATTAACATATGATTTTCCTGATATGCATGAATATGTTACCCGACCATGTGCTACTCTTCTCAAAACTTTAATTGCTAAACGTCAAGCTTTTGATTTAGTTGCACTTCAACAAAATATTCCCGATAAATATCCTGTTACAAGCTTCTATTGGTGTTGTCCTACTTTGGAAATGGCTGTTGATTTGATTTCCGATTATGCTGGATTATCTATGCTTCCACGTTTACCATGGAATCCGTATAAACGAGGAGTAGGAAATAGTCTTACTAAGTCACAATCATTCGCCTTGCCTATCCCATATTGTTTATTACGTATAATGACTAACAGTCCTATTTGGTCTTATGCGTGTTTAATGCCTACTGTCTTGGGACCACATCCGAAAAGTCATGTCCGATTAATTTTTCATCCATCTGAAGATGCTTTAATGGTGATGGGGTTGGCAGACTTTTCCGGTGCATTAAGTCGAACTCGTAAATCTCTCGAACCTAAAACTCTTAATTATCACCACCAATCTAGAAGTCGTGGATCTAAGTGTAAACAACCTTGTCGTTACATTGCATATCGTTTAATCGGTAGGCATATACTTCCGTATCGTACACTATTGCAGTTACGCTCTCGTCGTTGGAATCTGTTGGCTAATCGTGACAGTATAGATAATGCAGGGGACTCCAAACATGTACCAGTTGCTACTCGTCGTCTACTTCAACTCTACACTGAGTTAAGTCAACCAGGGGAAGTGGACCTAAAAAGAATTCAACAGTATGCTAATGAAATGACTACACTTGCTGCTCCTTATGGTCTTCCACTAATTGTTGAATGTTTAACTGATAAGAATTCTAAAGATTTGTTTACTTTTGAAGGGCTCCCCACCGATGTAGGTTATGAGCATGTTTTAAATTCTAACTATCGTAATGAAAATGCAAAACGTAGATTGGATGTATTAACTGAGTTCATAGAAAATGCCGAGTGTTTTTGGAGGTCACAGATTGGAAAAACGCACTCTATAGAAATGAAAACAACAAATTCAACAGATGTAGAAGGTGAATCCATAGTCAAATTAGAACCACCAGTTGAATGTGATGTGCTTGGTCCGAATTATTTACCTGCTATCCCAGTGGATCTCAATCCTGACGGGTAGGTTCTCTCTTCGACATAATATTTTCAAAGTTTCATAGTTATCATAAGAATTGATAGTACATAATATTGTGGTGGGTTCCCCTCTCAATTTATTCCAACTAGGTATCGATAGAACAGACATTGTTATGTTGATATGATTGAGAAAATATGTAGCTCAAGATATGGATTTCTGAAATCCTATGTTCTCTCAGGTATATGATTTAATCTTGAAGCTTTTATCATATTTTTTGAACATTATCGTCAATATATACTACAAAAAAGTATCGCGACTAAACCGTCCAACTGAAAAAATGCAACATCCTCTTCCACTGGTGGTAGTAAACTGATATGTCTTCACAAGTTTCTGAAATCGTCATTTTATTGATTAATTATTTCAACTTATTAATAGTCGACTGTAGTTAAAATTTACACGATACCTCTCCGAGTCCACTTAAATATGATATGGTGTAACAACTGGTTAATTACTGGATTGAAAAAACGCGTCCCATTGACCTAGTTGGTTGTGAGATATTCAATTGAGGATGTTTTTTTGGTTAACTATAAAAGCTTAGAGTTGATTTAATGTAAAGGAGAACAAAACGACTAACCAAGTAACGTGAAACTCTGTTCAACTAAATAAAACCTCTGGAGGTTGGTGAATATCTGATGAGTTCACTTCTTGAAATGTGCAAGAGGTTTGGCCTCCCTTTGAAAACACTTCCATTCCACTTTGCATTTAAATTGTTTGAAACAAACAGTTCGTTGGATACTCATAGCACGCCTTTACTAGTAAAAGATACTTAATACAAGATCAATGATGCATATGGTATCCAGGTTCTTGTTGGAAGAAATGGCGTATGAACTCATTCTCATGATCAGCGGTATTTTGAGAATTCATATTCTGATGCAGCTCAACTACTTTACTGATTAGACCTCTTAGTTAGAGTTAGTCATCTGAGAAACCAACGTGCTCCAATTTGACTGGCTGTCTGATATCGCGTTACAGAAACACCAATCAGATCCCTCGAGTCTAGGCTAAGCTCTTGCTGGTTCACAGTCCCCTACCTCCTCTTTGTCCTTCCCTTGAGTCCAGAAAGCAATAATCAGCCCCCACTGTATTTGTATTTCAAGCAGACATAGTTTATACACAAATGGACCAGATCACATCACACCATGAAATAGAAAACAATTACACAGAATCAAGCCAAAAAGGGGCTGCCAACAGATGAAGAATAATAAATCATACTACAATAGTTAATAGGTTAGTCGGAAGATTGTGGTGGAAGATATATATAATACAAATGAGTTTCTTTATCTATCCAAGTTCACGAAATCTGATCATATCACAATTTCAGATATCTATCTAACTTTTTTCCACCTAACAAGTTGGTAATTTCTGGTGCTGTAACCTTTTTAAACTGTCATGAGTTGTCGAATGGTTGTTAGCATTAATATCAAAGTTTAACTGAATATTTATATGCCGAAAAGAAAACATTCTAATTGCAGATATTATGCATGGTGCTATTGTGTAACGATATTCATTTATGTGTCTTATTGATTTATCATTTATTAATCTAGTCTCTGACATGGTTAAAGTTCAGAATATCCATTATTTCGTATGTCAGCTAAACTGGTCTAGTATAGTGCTGTCTTATTCTTCCTAATCCACATTTCATTTTCCTGTATTGGTATTTTTTTATTGCTCATTCAGTACCGTAGTTCTCAGCAAAACCAGTGAACCTGCTCTAGTTGAAGTTTTTAAAGTGTCTGATGATTCGGAGTCAATCCATGATTCAAATAATCACTCTGAAAATCCAGTTAATAATTTATCAAATCAAGAAACTCAAAAATATCGAACTGTTCAAACTAAAAAATCACATCATATCGAATTTATCCTAGCCCGGATAAACAAACAAAAGTCATATAAACTTTCAGATGATGATAAAGTAGAACCACCAGTCAGTGCTGAAAATCATGATATATCAGATGGTATTGTTGCACCGTCCTCTGTTGAATGTATTTTAAATGATCAGCAGCTTGAGGAAATGCCAAATATTTTGGAGTCTTACTGGAGTCATACAGGTAATGATGCATTAGATGTTTGTCAAAAAGTAGCAGATGCTTTAGTGAACTTATTTCACTTTGGTTTTGATAAATTTTGTGCTGCCCGTGGAGACGCTAATCTTGGACCTAGAAAGTTTTGCCATATGTTGAAGTCATCAGTGTTAAATCCTCATATTCATAGTGCAGATATAAGTTCTGTATGTTCAAACAACTTTCAATCTGTTTTGGATTCGTCAATTTTTATTGCTGATGAGTGTCAGAGTCAAGCTGCAGGGATCTTCCCAAGTGCATGTCTTATGACATCCAGTCGTTTTGTTGCAAGATGTCGGGCACGTGGTGATGCTAACTCATCTGACTTACTGACTTTACCGTCTTCTATCATAACTCATACACAGGCAATAACGGATGAGATGGATGTGAGACGAGCACGTTCACTACTAGATCGATGTCGAACCTATTTAGCTCCAGGTGATTACAAAAATATGATGATTAACTTATCCAACTTAAGTCAAGCTATTCAGACTCCTAGATTAATCACCAGTAATCATGAACAGTCAGACAAAACTGAAGTATTACTTTCTCTTGCATGTGTGTTAAACTGTTTGAAAAAACATTTATCTTTGTGGGAGGATTTTGTTTGCCTTCTTACTCCATCACAAGCCCGTAGTCTGGGTCTGCTATCTACATATTTCAATCTGGCACGGATCAACCGAGTGCAAAGAGTTCTACAAGATATTGTTCCCCGTGATAGGAGATTTTGGAGACGTCTTCGTAATTTGGCAGATAGCTGCAGCATTGAGGCACGTCATATTCCAGTCAAAAAGAAGTTTTATACAGGTGTGAGAGATAATTCTGCTCATGATCCTTCAAATGCAGATAAACAAGACTTCCATGATTGCAGCGAAAGAGCAACTAATGGGACTCGAAACATTCAGAAATCATCTGTGTTACAACAGGGTCAAGGTTCAGGTACAATCTTAAGTAAAACCCAAACCAAATCCCGCGTTAGAGGTTTACGGCATCGAAATATGCACGATGCATTCTCCAAAGCTTGGTCAGTTCTGGAGAGTAGTTGGCGCAACCGTCCTGTTCTCTTATCACGTATCGCCAGTCTTATTAATACTAGACATAAGCCATATGTCGGTTTTGAACAGGTTAGTGACGTCATTTTGTATAAATAATATCTACTTGTCATTATTAGTTTAATCTAACTCCCCTTCCATTGGTATATATATATATATAGTACATCAGTTTATTTACTTCATATATGGAATTAAACCACAAGAATAACTTAAGATGGAAAATTCAGTATCATATGTTTTCCTATATATATTACCTAATATAGAGGTATATTGTTTAAAACAATGTTTCTTGAGGTCTGACACTACCAAACAGGTAGGTGTAGGGTATAAGCAGGGCTAGGATTTCGTCCTTCTCAACAGTAAAGTATATTATTCCTATATAAAACAGGACTACTAAAAGGTACCTTCTGACTTTGATTGTGAACCGAATATAGTGTTGGCTAGAAGCATTAATTCGCCATAAGTTAATATACGCTAGTCGTTTATTTGATCGAAGTTCAGTCTGTTACCAGTGGTCTCGATTTGGAAGCTGTGTGAATTTCCACATTATTCAGTAAAATACTAAACAATAATGTGAATATTTTTTTCAGAGTTTTGAAGAATCAGATGTACTTGCTCGTCGTCCTGTAGGGAACTCAACTTATCCCGAGAATTTAAATCAAAATGCAGGCATTTCAAGTAATAGATACATCCCTTCTCCAATCAACGCCCTTTCTCCTCAGTTACGATCCTTTCTTTCGGAAGGATGGGAAGTATGCACTGACCTTGCTTCAACAGCTCACAATCGAAATAACTCGTTAGGTACACTCTGGGCTCGTAAACAATGTCCTTGCCGATGTCATCCTAGTGCATCATCAAACAGTGTTCCAATAACAAATCAATCTGGAAAACCTATTAAAAAGGTTGACAGTCTTGGTTTAAGACACTGCATTTCTTGCAGTTTGAGAGTAAGTCCACTTTTATTCCCAGGAGTTACTCATCTAGTTGAATTATGACAATATCTTTCATGTTTTGTAGGCATACTATGTTTTTTGTCTTATACAGGACGACACGAGTCCTGAAGTAAGACCATCTTTCCATATGAAGTCTCCGTCCATACGTTAATTAATGCGAATGGGATTGAGCCGAAATAAGTCTTGCCATTCGATCGAGAAACCAATTTTTCGTTCTGCTGTAGGCTGTGAATGGTAAGGAGGTGAGAGATGAAGCGGATCTCAGAACCAAATATGTAGACGCATAATATACTGACAGCCTTGAATTAGTCATTAAGATAACTTCTTATGTATTCTGCGCGAAATCTATGGTTCAGTGATCGATAATTTGTATGTTATAATTAACTAAATGAAAATTAACAATAAGTGATTCTTAAAACGTCCGGAATCAATAAAAATACATATTACGCAACCAGAATGTCAATTTAGGACGGTTCTAAAACTAAATGACAAAAAAAAACACCTACTCCTAAGGCAGATTGTATGTTAAAGTACTTAATGGAATTCAACATGTAATCAAGAGCGTTTAGTGAAGTTAGATAATATTCTCCCTTTTTAATTCTTCCTCTAAATCTCAATCCAAGGGTTTCTTCAGTTTGCAAACAGAAGAGTGGTAAAGCATTGGTTTATAATTGTTGGTAATTCGTGATGGAAACTCTACTTAACCCTAACCTTTTTGCATTGTATCTGGTGTCATTTAATGACGAAAACAACCAGCACAACAGCGGTGCTGCCTTCTCACAAGGAGGGGTGGGGTTAGAAATGGTCGACCCTAAGAATACAGTCTCCGACGGTAAGGTCTCAACAAGCACGGGGCTAACACGAAAATTACTCACAAAAAGGTCGTGTGTGACCGACGTCGAGCAGTTGTCCTTCGAGCACTACTGTCACACTTTTAGGTCACTAGGACTACCCCTAACCCAATTTCCTCCTCAGGTACCTCCAAAAGAACCCTTCTACGGTGTGGGCAACCGCCCTTATACCTATAACAGCACTCAAGATCACTATATTCACAATCGGTTTCCCTCTTCAATTCCTATTATTCCCCCTACCTCGACTTTCAACTCTGAACTTCCTCTTCAAGTGCCACCATGGCCAACGAATCTAGTGCGCGAAATACTGTGCCAGGTCTACTGAAACCTCACTCCAAACTACACATTGGAGTTTTCAACGTACGCATCCTATGTTAAATCGGCTTGCAGGTCTCCTTGGCTAAAACCTTAGAATCTCATATCATTGATGTATGCTGTGTCTCCGGAACACGCATACAAGATCCTAGTGTGGTCATTCACTTGACCTCACCTCGCCAAAATGGGGACCCGACGAGATACACCCTTCGTCCATTGGACTATCAGCATACAGATCAATCATAGAATATAATACATAACATTGGTCAACTATCTCCGTATATCGCAATCATTTATTTTTCAGGTGCATCGTGGCATTGTGTATGTTGATGAGTGCAATCTTCATCTGCGTCACGTGAAGATAACTTGGCCACCTGGTTTTAAACCAAAAGCTCATTTACCTCGAAGTTCCCTATCAGCTGACTCTGTTGCAAATCAAATCCCTCGTCCTGCAACAATCCACCATGCATCATCAAATATTCCTACTCGTACTGCTTTAAGCGAACTTGCAAAAATGCATGCCAGATTACATTCTACAAACAGAGTATCAAGTCATCGCAATTTCCTACCAGATATGGCTGGTCGACGTGTTTCAATCGAATTTGTTCCTTCTTTTAAATCAAGTACATCAGACAGTCGACAAATCGATGATTCAAGCAATCAAGATGAATGTAATGCTCTTGAAGGAACTGATGACGTTCAACTCTCCTGTCCTCCAATAGATAAGCATCCAAGACTAGTCGATGTAGATAGTAGAAATGGTCTCATACCCCGTGAATTACGTTCGAAATTTGATGTAGAAAATCCTATGAGTTGGTCGCTGGATGATGAAGCTGCTTGCTTCAATACAGAAGCTTTTGCGTCTACATACAATGAGAATCATGAAGGTGACCCGTGTGAATTAGTTAATGATGATTGGACACCGGAAGAAGACAGGCAGTTATTGGAATTTTGTAAAGCTAAAGGACGTTACAGCTCTCAGATGTTTACAGACTTAGCTAAAATATGGGAACCCAAACCATATGTTTACTCTGCACAACGGAATCCACTGGAATTAGAAGAACGTTTTAAACATCTCATGCGTATCACATTGAGAGAAGCTTATGATCCAGAGTTATTTCAAACGCCGTATAGAGACGAATCTTCATGTGAAGATGACTAATCATAATTTGACCTTATGTATTTGTTCTCCCATATTCACAGAATAAGTTGACGCGCATGAATCAAGTCTTTCATCTGTATAAATTTGTACAATATTACATAGATTTCTTAGTAATTATCAACATATATTCATCTTCTCACAGCTCATTCTTCAAACTTTATAAAATATATGTTAGCGTTGCAAATTTTTGAAGTCACATATTTTGTATATGCTTTCAAAGTTCTTTATGAGATAACCCTTAAAAATTGTTCTAACTTGCGTATAGTGCATAGATCCGGTGATAAGTAACAGATTCGTTTAACTTTATGGAATCGATTAGATTATGTTAATGGGGATGGACATCCCATTGACTTTACAGCAAGGGAAACCAATAAATAAGAACTTTCGTCTAAATTTGATCGAACAGTTTCACAGTATTTATCGAATATAAATAGGTACATGGTTCTCCGGTTCACTGTATACTGAATAGGTCATCCAATCAACGTTAACAATGTTTAAAGTAGGTATTTACATTAGTGTGAAGCGGGGTTGAGCTGTTCTGTCAGGGTTGTCATGTGGAAGTCCGGATGGTGTCTGGTTCTGTAAAATTACTCTGACCCACAAGGGTATATTATATGACTGAATAGCTCCCAAATGCCCTAGTACGGCCGAGAGTGGGGAGAAACCGCTCCCCCTCTCGAAATGCTCTCACATGGACACGCGTATATAGCCTCTGCCAGAGACGTTCTACTCACTATCTCGTGGCGGGGATGTTTACGAAGTTGAGAGGACGAAAAGCGAATGTCCGGAGCTTTAACCGGGTTAGTGGACATGAAGTCTCCACCTAGGGGAGTTGGAAAACCTTGATTCCAAACCAATGGTGCACATGAGCTCCAGTACCCTGAGGGAACAAATGGCGTATGAACCGATTGTTGGTCACTGGCTATCATGGGATCGCATCTCTTGATATTGCTCCACTGCCTCGTGGACCAGACCTTCAGGTCGAAGGCTCCGGGTATGGCCCCCCAAGAAAACCACCTGCTTCGGTTTGGGCACCCGGGCAGTATCACAGTCCTCACACATATCAGATGAGATCTGTGTGGTGCATATGTATTTGGTGCCTCCTTGTACCAGTATCTGTGTTAAAATAAAAATTTACATTATTGTGTAAGAGACATGTGGTGTGACCCGATTCTATCGAGTGTAATGCTATCGCTGATTTGTTCTTTAGTTTTCTTACATCAAGTGAGGATTTAGGAATGTGCTTTAAGCATAGTTTGTGCTCCTCCACCCTTATATTCAGTTTAATTGACGTTTCACCGACATTGCATTGCAGTCACTACATTTGATTTCATAAACACAATCCTATTGTTCCTCCTTGTGTATTGGATCTTTGATTCTTACTAGTTTTGATCTTCGAGTATTTTTTGTTCGAAAGAATACTCTGATATTTTAAAGAGTTAAGGTCGTTCTGAAATGCCTTTACGAAATGTATCACCACTGCGTTGATCCATCCTAGTTTTCGTAACATTCACCGACCAAAGACAGTATACAGTGGATGAAATTTCTCAGTTAAGTATACACACAATGTTATCTTAACACTTTTCGTTTCACACCACATGTCTCCTACACACTAATGTAAATACCTACTTTAAACATTGTTAACGTTAATTGGATGACCTATTCAGTATACAGTGAACCGGAGAACCATGTACCTATTTATATTCGATAATTTTGATTGTTTCCTTGAAAAGGCTTGGACCAGATTGCCAGGCGAAACTTTGGATTTACTTCGTATTCATTCGCTGAGACTTTACGAATACATTCTTCCTCTTTAAGGTAAATCAGTACCTAATCATCTACCGTAAATCAGTGTTTTTGCGAATCGGTATCCTGGTTGATAACACTTCGGGTGTTTAATTCGATGGTAATGAATTTCACGTAAAATTCTGCTAACGGTTTTTAAATAGTTTGTTATGCAACATCAGTTACAAAGGTATTATTATTATTCTGTCATGTAACTTCATCGTTCGGGTTAAACAACAAGCGAACATCAACCATGGATCAGGAACGATTATGATACCGTTTCAACAAGCAAATGGATTCAAACTGACAGCTAATTTGGGTGACATGTCTTTGGAATCTTTATGTTCGCAAGACTAATCACAAATCCTCTCGACATTACAGAAAACTTAATAATACTATATTACTTCTACACAAATAGTAATCAATGGTTTTGGAGATCACATTAATTCGCTATTCATTTAAGCCATTCATACGACATACACGAGTAACGGTTTCTAACGAAGTACATTTCTACTTATTCCAGTATGACAGGATCATCAATATTGCATATTGTAGTCCGGAATCCAACATTTTTAGTAAGACAAGTGATTGTGGTTCTGCAACAACACCAAAAAACTTTATCATTCAATTATCTCTCATTTTTAACAATGATGATACCCGAAAATTACCGCTCCTTTACACAACCAAAAACTTGATGATCCTTATCCGGCCATCAACCCTCTTCCCCTTCATATTAATATTCTGTTGCTGAGATTATCTCCACTAATTAATCGTGGGATCAATAGTAACATTACAAACCTACCGAACAGCACTCCTAGTTTCAAATAAGCAACTGTATATCGTTACATGTAACACTTGATTATATCTCAAAAATAATTTTGGGGGTAAAATTCCATGCAATCAATGTTTTCTGCCCTAGAAATTCGGTAGTCCTGTTTATCTCATTCATAAACAAACATCTTAGGAGCACCTAGTTGATGGCTATCTGACTCCCTCTCATCCTTATTTGTATTCATACTGGTTACTCGAGATGTGGATCGGCGGTTCAACTATACGACTATGACTAAGTTTCGTGTTGATTATTCTAATATTCATGACAAATTCATACCTCGATTACTGGCCAATAATCGCAAGTAGAACCAAACTGTTCTTGTCTAGATAACTGTTACGATAATATATTTTTCCCTTAATACTGAGAACACATCTCATTTCCGTGCGTGATGATGCTAACTGAATCTGTTTGTCAAAAGCTTTAAATATTTCGATTCTCCACACTTTACAGACGCCCAACTGAAGCCGTGTTTCCTGACTATGATTTTCATTCTATAGAGTTCTGGAGTAATAACCTATGACCCTGTGGATCCATTACTTTGCTTCTCCTACTTATAATAGACTGTGTAGATTTATAAGGATGACCAGTGGAATTCAGTGAACACGCCTGAGAGCTTAGTGACACCCGAAAGAGTATGGTCTTGCGTAGTCTAACTACATTCACTTGGAAAGTAATGTTTTTTTAGTTAAAATTATCTGTTTTATATAACACTGTGAAAGAAAATAAGTGAGTTTGTCAATATTCATAGAATAGTAAACAGTACATTTAGATTCATAATTAGTGACTTTCTTATTTACCACGAAATCCTCCACCACGACCAGGACCCCCAGGTACACTCCCGCCACGCCCTGCTCCTCCACGACCTCGAGTATTAGGAGCATTACCACCCCGACCTAAAATGAAGTAAGAATTAACACAGAAAATTCGTAACAAAGGTTTGAAAGTCTCAAGGAACTAAATATCCTAATTAGGATAGAGGGTCAAATATATTTTTAAACATATTACTCCTGGATTACATTTATACGGGTACAAAATGTTTGAGCTGCAAATTAAGTTTCTACAGAGTGCTTTAAGTAATTTATGCAATGCATATCAACTTCTAAATATCTGAAGTATGAAAAAGTAATTATCTACCACTCTGAACTGAACAGGTTTAATTCAGTCCATTACAATGAACCAATTATTTTTTGTCGAGTCTGCAGAAGCATGACTATCTACGTATCTGTTGCTCAAAAAAGTAACATTAGAAACTTCTTATTCAATTGGGAGATTGGTTTAATGGTTGTGAAGTTTAGTGACTGTAGAAACACTATCAAGACACAAACTACCTGTCGACTGTGTTTGCAGTCTTATCAGCACTGGTTCATACTCTAGTGAATTGGCTATTGCCAAGTACAAATCAATACTACGTAATTGCTTAAATCGAAGTATATGGGTGGGGGTTAAAAGAGTGACCTAGTTTTTTAAAATTAAAAACCCTAGCCACTGGTCTAATCATGCTGCACAATGTATAAAACTTAAAGTACCTTCTGTTTGTTTTGATTTACCGAAAGTTTATTTGATTGCTAGACAGTAATACTGACGGCTTCAGGGAACTTTTAGGCATTGTTTATCCTGTTTAAAGTCTGAACGTCTCCACTGCTTCCATCTATAGAATTTCTAGTTAAAACCGAGACTTCATATTAACCAGTTGTAGGAAAATGCACAATAGTTTATTTACTTTTCAATACCGATTACCGAATAATAAAATGCTATGTCTGCGTTTTACAATTAAAGCGTATTTACAGTGCTTTATCAAATCGACCTTTAGGCAATTTTGGAAGCCCAACTATCGATTCTTCTAGAGCACATGCATGGACTGCGATCATGTCGTATTGAGAGCAGACACACGTTATCAACATTGGAGCTGTCACAGATATGGTTTGGCCAAAGTTGTCGCACCACGGAATGAAAAGATGAAAATAACCCGAGATTAAAATAATATAGTAGCAATGACAGAAAGACCAAAACTTGGGGATATTGTTTGAAAAGATAGAGTGGAAAGGTCTATATGAAGTAATGATAATATTCAAGCCCAAGAGAAGAGTGAATGCTGTCACTTAGTCTCCAGCCCCTGGTTACGGTAATAACACGGACACTAAGTAATATACACGATTTAACGAAGCCCAGATCAACAATCAATAACTTCTGAGATTGGTCTGATTACCTCTAGCTGACTTCAAACCTACATGTGCACTTGAAATCACAGCTCATCGAAGTAGATGGGGGTTAGGCATATCTACCATATGTTCCAACTGCCTCACTTGATGAAGTTTGTAAAAAAAGCGAATTATTAAAGTGGAGACATTTTTGAAAATAATACAGTGCAGTTACACTATAATTTATGGACAACCTTTGAGAATGTCCACCTACATACTATGGCTACATGAGGGTTATAAACCAGTGTGAAGAATCAGGGTTAATATTTACAACTGATAGTTAGACTTAGTGTTTTCATCACGAACTGACATCAGCTATAATGCCAAAACTCTATTTAGTTGAGTGAATGAATAAATTACGCGCAGAAATTCAAGACCCGTTATCGTAAATTTGATTGATTCGTCCGTAAATTATAGTCTCGCCGATAGTGCTACTATATTTTGCTATCGTATGTAGCCTCCCAGTAGCACCACATCAAAACGATCTTAATAGTGAACCCTTCAATATCTAATTTAATACCCTTCGGATAAATGTGTACATTACCAGTCATTCACGTTTTAAAATACAATATTAGTGATGTCTAATTAATTCAAGCAAATGGACGACAAGAAGCAGTTTAGGGAAAAAGACCAAGCAAGCTGAAGAAAACATAAATATCAGCTATAGGATGTTGGCTAACGAGACCACAATTATAAATGTAAATACATGGACATAAGAATACTCTGGAAGAAGATATTGTTTAACGAGAATACCAAAACTGAATTATATTACCTCTAGCCTTATTTCTATGAAAACTCCCACGCCCAGTGTCTGCAGACTGAGAGCGATTACGCATTTTGGCTAGCTGCAAGTCCTCTTTAACCTTATCGATTACGTCGTCCGGAATCCGTAAATATTTTATTATGCTTCCACGAATATAACACTCTGGCATTTTCCAGAAGCGATCCCCATCCTATGAAATATAAACTCAGCATATATATAGGATTTACTCGAGATGTACAAATAACTTCTTTAAGATGAATGTTCATCCAGTCATCGCAAGCAACAAGGTGACCGTTATAAGTTTCACCACTTTTTAACTCAACAAGCTGAAAATAATTTAACGACTGCAAATGAAATTACCATAGGAAGATTCGTTGCAGCCTTGAGGAGTGTCACGGGTAACTAAAAAAATTAACGAAATAAAAAACACAAACCATTGCGAAATACAATTAAGCGCCCAATAATTAAGCTAGTGCAAGGTCACCTCATCTTCAATGACCATTATCCAACATCGATATTATGGGTATGCACAAGCTTTGCATCTCTATATAACCATAGCTTTGTTGCAAAGAAAAGTCGATATTTTTCGAAAGTGTACCGACAGAGGAAAAAGAAAAACATTTCTTCAATAAATCGAGAACCATAATGTAAATCCGAAGTTTTTATGGAGGCGCGACCGGTAAGTGAACGTGTCCCAATATGGCTGTCTTCAACATAATTTTTCTGTGTAATTCCATTTTGAGTAGTCAGAGTGCGTTGGTGAATATGTGTGTGGATAATCAAGAAGTTTAAATGGTCCAAATGGTTGTACAAGAATAAAAGTAGTTTCATAGCAGTGGGGCGCCGATGCGTCTAGGTACGGACTGTGGTATATTTAACAAGCAAGTGCAAAAATGCAATAAGTAGAATGGAAATGGTATTCTGAATTCTTACGAAAATATTGAGTTTCCTCCCGAAGGACTCCTGTGACGGCACTTAAACAACCTCGACCATCTGCGAGTTCCAGAGTTCGACCAATTGCAAAAGATAGAAGGTATTCCCACTACACAAATTGTCATGTGTCGAAACTGAGCTTAAGTAAGTACTTCCTGGGATAACCAGGAGTGCTTAGGATCCTATAAGTCATTAGAGTATCATTTCTCTGTGGCGTGTACTGTGTGAGTAGATATCAAGTTATTGAAGGTGCTCTCTATGACTAAGACACCGAAATCTGTTGCAAATTGGGACATCTCTAAAGGGGATTCCCCAAAGTGTATGTATAGTTCATAACATGCCGAAACTGACTATTTCATACCTTCAGGTGTTGAAAGTGTGTAGTTAACTACGCAAACTTGAAGTCCAGTCAGATCCTCTTGAAATATCAGCTCATTATTCTGGTTAGGACCTTCTCTCTAAAGTTTCACATCGCCGACGAAAGTTATTACAACAGACGATTCCTGTTGATGAGTGTAATTTATATAAATTAAAAAGTTTTTGGTACTGAACCTTGGAGGACTTTACGTTCTGTAGATTGAGAAGAAACAAAGTTCACTCTTACTTTCAGACTCAACAAGTTCGATATGAATTAAACCGATCCATCAGTTGTGGCTTGATAATTAACAACTTAAGTGTGTTTATGAGTCATGAATGTTTGACTCTACCAAAGACTTTAGAGAAGTCAAGGTACATCACATCCGCTCTACCCTTACAATTGATGGTGGCTGTCCAATTATTTGTAATAAATTAGGTTGATTGGTAAAGAGTTGACTGCAAACATTTTATTGATATTAAAACATAGCTTAAGCATCCATTTTCTTCCTTATTTTGTATAGGCATTATAATTTCTATTATCTTATAGTTGAAAAATTTTGTGGATTTGAAGAAAGGTAACCATGTACTTCATCTGCTCTGTCCCATGATCAAAGCAATGACCTATTCACTACAAGTCTGGGTTCTTCTATCGGCAAAACGAGGGATATTTACCACCCCATTCAGCAGACTGATGAGGCAGAAGTAACCGTCATTGAAGCTGTGTTGCGGGAGGAGCGAAACGAAACTTGTCTAATACAAATTGATGATGTCACAGGTATTCAGTGTTTGACAACGCTTCTACCAGTAACACCTTCTAATATATTTCGTTCCCACCCAGAGAAATCAAAAGACAGAGTCGAGGAGATCGAAAGAGTATATTTGGCGATGACCAATATATCGGAATTCTCTGATCTAATCTGGCTAGCGATTGCGGTTGATGTTGAGCACGGCGTTACCACACGTGATCTGGTGCGGATGCCTGACCGAGCGCCTTCAGCTAGATGAGTCCACTAAAACATATGGTCAGCATCCAATGTCGAAAACTTACAGAGCTATTTATTTTAGGGATTTATTTACCGCTACAGATCACTCCCCCCCTAGTGGGGCAGTGATGTCCCTAAGACGTGGCCAGCCAGAAGTTTAAACCCAACGACTTTGTCGTTGGTAAACACTCTTCTGATAGCTTACTAAGTGTAGCAGCGTCTGGTCGTCTTTCCTTTCTATATGGGACGGAGGTACAACATAGTAAAAAAAGAAAATGTACAATGAAAAGTTCGGATCCTCATAAACGTCATCATTCTTTTCCAGCCGTCCTGGAAAAGAAAATGTAAGTGCATGTCGAAAGTACACTCGTATGTGCGTAAAATCACAATGTCGGCGGATAAAAAATGGAAAATAAACTCATGAACACGTAATAGCGTTAAAAAAATTGTTTTTTTTTAAAATAGAAATTAAAATATATAAGCATGTTAAAATTGTTTTTTGTTTTTTTTTAAAAAAAATAATATAAAATGTCGAGAAGTGCCTTACGTGCAATAGTCGTTTAAATGTTCTGGAAATTTCACCCTTCTTCCAGAACGCGTCGTTTTAAGTTTATTTTCGGATACTGTCGAAGTATCATCGTGCGTGTTGGTTGTCGGATGAGGTATTATAAGTGTCGGAGTCGTGTCCTTCGATTGTGCCGAAGGAAGATCCACGTGGATAAGATTTCCTTCTAAATACGCTGCTTTTAAGCGATCGATACTGATGCTATCGTTGGTTCCGTTCTTATCGACTATATAGTACTTAGATTCACGTTGAAGAACTTTGAAGGGTCCTTCGTATGCTGATTCGAATGGTCGTCGATGCGAGTCTCGACGAACGAAACCGTGTGTACTATATCGTAAGTCAGGTTGAACGAAAACATCGGTTGATTGAGGTCGAGTGGAAGCAGGTTTAACTGAACGCATTGCGTTTGTAAGCCTGTTCGTGTAGGAGGTTAGATCCATGTTCATTGAAGAGGATGAAGGATCCACGAATTCTCCTGGAAGTCGAAGTGTCGTTCCATAAACGAGTTGAGACGCAGTGTATCCAATGTCAGCTTTCACTGCATTGCGGATACCTAGTAAGACGAGTGGAAGAGCGTCGGTCCACTGTGAAACGTTTGCAGCTGATAGCGAAGCTTTCAGTTGTCGGTGAAAACGTTCTACCAACCCGTTTGCTTGTGGATTGTAGGCGGTCGTTCGGAAGCAAGTGATTCCTAATCGTGTGGTCAGACGACGGAAAAGATCGGATTCAAACTGACGTCCGCGGTCTGTAGTGATGGTTGAAGGGCAGCCAAAGTTAGCTACCCATCGTTCGACGAAGGTGCGAGCCACTGTTTCAGCAGTGATGTCCTTGATAGGTACTGCTTCTGGCCATCGAGTGAAACGGTCTACGCAGGTTAAGAGATAAGAGTATCCATTTGAATCTGGTAAAGGTCCTACCAAATCCAGATGAACATGGTCGAAACGAGCATCGGGAGTTTTAAACGAGCCTAAGGGACATTTATTGTGTCTGATAACCTTAGAGTTTTGGCAGCTTACACAGGAGCGTGCCCACTCCCTCACGTCTTTATTCATTCCAGGCCAGCAAAACCGTTCTGCTATAAGCTTGATGGTTGCACGAACACCTGGATGCGAAAGTTTATGTAATGTGTTGAAGACATTGCGTCGATAATGTTTCGGCACGATTGGGCGATCCCTACCTGTAGATGTGTCACAAAGTAAGGTTTCCTTACCTATTCCCATCTGTTTGATGCGTAGTTTAAGTGTTGTGGACGATAACTCGTGCTGAAGATCACTGTCTTCTTTTTGAAGCTCGGCGAGTTTAAGAAGGTCGATTCCTTGGAAACTGTTCAAGGAAGTTATGCAAGATAAAGCGTCTGCAACTACATTGTTTGCTCCAGAGATGTGTTGAATATCTGAAGTAAACTGCGAAATGTAGTCCAGTTGTCGAGACTCACGGGGAGAGTACTTGTCAGAAGGAGAGCTCAGAGAGAAGGTGAGTGGTTTATGGTCAGTGAAAAGAGTGAATTCACGGCTTTCGATATAATGTTGAAAATGCCGTACAGCACAATACATAGCTAGGAGTTCCCTACTGAATGTGCTGTACCTCGATTCGGTGTCTAGCAACCTTCTAGAGAAAAATGCCAAGGGTTGCCAGGAGTTTTTAACCCATTGTTGTAAGACTCCTCCGATTGCTGAGTCGGATGCGTCTACTATGATACTAATGGGTGCTTCGGTGTCCTGATGTGCGAGCATTGTTGCTTTAGCGATCAGTTCCTTAACTGTGGAGAATGCTTTTCGTGTGGTGTCGTCCAAATTAATGGATTTCGCATTTCCACGGAGTTGGTCGGTAAGAGGTTTCATAAGTAATGCGCATTTCGGTATGAAACGTCTATAGAAACTTACGAGGCCGTTAAACGTGCGTAATTGCTTGACGGTGGTCAGTTCTGGGTAATCCAGAATGGCCGCCACTTTGGTTATATGGGGTCGGATGCCTTGAGCATCGATAGTGTGTCCTAGGAAATCTAACGAGTCGGTTCCGAATTGGCATTTCTGAACGTTTACAGTAATGCCATGTTTTTGTAGTCGTTCGAAAACAAGATCCAGATGCTTGAGATGTGTTTCTCTGTCCGGACTTGCGATTAGACAGTCGTCAACATACGCATGTACGAAGTTGAGACCTCGAAAGACGTCGTCTATGAATCTTTGGAATGTTTGAGCAGCGTTTCTTAGACCGAAAGGCATTCGCAAAAATTCATAGAGTCCGAAGGGAGTTATGATGGCTGTTTTCGGTATGTCGTCAGTAGCCATAGGGATTTGGTTATACGCTTTAACCAAGTCGATTTTCGAAAATACAGTTGTACCTTCCAAGGTAGCTGTCAAATCGTGAATGTGAGGCAACGGGTAACGATCGGGAATGGTTATTGCATTCAATCGCCAATCGTTGCTGTCCTTTTTAGGGACCAATTGCAACGGAGATGCACAACGAACTCGTTTTTCGCCAACCTTAGCTTTTCATGGGCTAGTCGTCGTGCTCTAGAGAATACAGGTGGTCCTGTAGTCGTGATGTGATGTGTAACGTTGCTGGTTACACACGGTAGTTTCGGTTGAGTTTGTTGTATTCCAGGGTACTTATCTAGTAGTGGTTGATAAAGTGGGTC